TTGTAAGGTAGAATTGGGATCATGATAGTGGGGGGGGGAGGGAGTGGGGGGAGAAAGGATTAAAGAACTAGAGAAATGTTGTATGTTTCATTGGTGCTATACTGCACCCTGACTGACTTATCTTCTCCCTGAGACTCTGCTGTTAGGTGATGTCCACTCCCCCTCATTCACAATGATATGATTTTTTTGTTCTGGGTTTTTGATGCCTGATACCTGATCCCATTGACACCTCGTGATCACACAGGCTGGTATGTTTCTTCCATGTGGGTTTTGTTGTTTCTCAGCTAGATGTCTGCTTGTTTATCTTCAAGTCTTTAAGACCCCAGATGCTATATCTTTTGATAGCCAGGGATCATCAACTTTCTTCAACACATTTGCTTATGTACCCACTATGTCTTCGGTGATTGTGTCAGGAAGGTGAGCATCATGGAATGTCAGTTTAATAGAACAAAGTGTTCTTGCATTGATGGAGTACTTGAGTAGGGGCCCAATGTCCATCTGCTATGTTAATGCTAAACCTATAAATATATGCACATAGATCTATTTTCCCATCATCATATATCAATATATTTACATATATACATGCCTGTATTTAGACCCCTATAAATACCCTTTGTCTCCCAGCTTTTTCCTCTATTTCCTTTTACTTTCCTCTTGTCCCACTATCATGTTCTGCCTTCATTCGAGTTTCAGTAATTCCTCTTGGTTACATTGCCCATTTCAAGCCCTTCCAGGCCTCCTACACCCTTCTCACCATTGATTTTGGATCACTTGTTGTTCCCTTGTCCCTGAGTTTGTTAACACCCACTTCCTTTCCCCCACCTCCCCATCTCCCATGTCCCTCCAGAACTGTAGGTCCCATTGTTTTCTCCTCCACATTGTTTATCCTGCCTATCCCATCTGGATATACCCGTAGAGATAATAATATGCACAAAAAACAATAGGGGGGGAAACAAGGCAATGAAAGAAAACAACAACAAAAACCAACGGAAAAAAAAAGCCTGTAAATAGTTTAAGGTCTGTTTCTTGACCTTTAGGAGTGTTTTCCGGTTGAGTCTGATGGTGTGCCACACCCTGACCCCAAAGTTTAATTTTGGTACTCCTTCGGGACTTCCTTGCTCTGTTCCCCTTGCTATTCTGTTACACACCCTTAGAGATCTGCCTCAGTGTGGTGGGGTCAGATCGGGCACAATTCTCACACTGTGTCTCCAGTGTTGTCCCCCATAGCATTATGAGTCAATAAGGAACATCGTGTCTCATAGTGGGACCGGCCCTCTGGTCCTCTCTGTGCATTGGCTGCGCTGAGCAGGAATGTCGTCCTCAGGGCTAGTGGTCCAGGATGTGCTCCACTCTCTCTCCCTCCCCCTTCATTCGCTCCTGTGTGCTCTGATCAGACATGTCCCTCTCCCTGAGCTGTGGCTTCAGTGCTGTCCTCTGAAGTGATTTCTTCTGCGGGGAGAGGGGGCTGGTAGTAGGTTTTTTGGTTTGTGAGCAGGTGGGTCACTTTCCCTATATTTAACCCACAATAATCCTCCTGAAAAAGTTCATACACCTTAGCCTGGATTGCTAATTGTAACTCCAATATGTGTCAACAGGCCTACATGACACCAATGCATGCCTTTGCGGGAGGGGCAGGGTTTGAAATTCGGCAAATGGACACATTCTTTATGTTCATTCATTCTCCATCTTGTTTCATAAAGTACTTAAGGCAGCTCCCTTGGTGAATTCCACTTAATGTAAAATCATAATGGACTATAGCAGAATTAAATTTCTCAGTGTCTACTCATAGAGCACTTTGTAGGGTTTTCGAGCTATGCTGACACACATCCTTTGTGTTTCAGCAAACAAATGCTTCTAGTACCTGACCAAAAGTATTGGGTGGATTTTTTATGATACTTGATTTTTTTAGCATTATAAAAGGAAATGAAAGTTGTATTTATCTCTGCTGATAGAGGGAAAAGAACTTTTTCTTTGGAATGGTCCAAGGCCACTGTGGTCTGATACCGTAGGCGGGGCTCTGAGTTCTTCTAAAAGGGTAGTGGCACAATCATTACAAGAATGCATGTGAAGGACAAGACCAGTGATGACTATCTCATGAGAACAGATCTACCTCATGAGAACAGAGTTAAGGACCTGCTGGCAGGAAAGGCCTTTTGAGTAGTGCACATCACTCCTTTATATTGGTTTTTCAGGGGCCAAGGACCTCAGAATTCAGAAGGATCCAGGCATTTCCCAAGTTGTGGCCCCAACAGCTAGAAAGACCTGTAGTCCTGCTGGAACCTGTCTGGGGTCGAGGGGAGAATCCTACGTGGGTGAGAGGGGCCGCTGAGTAGCTGACAGTTCTAGAGAGAGTTTGGCTTCTTATCAATGAGTTGGCTCAGGGGGGCAATGTACTGAAACAGGATTAATAAAAGACAGAATATTCCTCCCATGTGCCTACTCACTTGACTTTCTTCAATATACAAAACAATACACCAAAACAATTACAATGTGTTTTGCTTGGGAAAAGAAAACACTACTGCCTTCTTAAAACTTAGTATTTCTTATACAAACTTACATGGTCAATCATCACACAGGATGGGAAAACGGGCGTGGGGAGTTGGAGACAGAGGTGGGGGGATGGGGGAGTGAGGCAAATTGTTGCAACTCACAAACATTTATAAAGATGGAAAGAAGTACTGCTTAAAAACAAATTGCGGGTGGTGGGGGTCAGGACGGGACAAGCCATTGGAATATTTGATAAATTCAGTTGTTGAATGAAACACTGATAATCTGATAGATAAATCCCTACCCAATTCACAATAAAAAAAGTTTTAAAAAACTATTGAACTATATAAACTAAACCAAATTGGAACAGAGGTGGTAAAATGGCCACTTTTCTCTGAAAGCAGAGCTGAGTTTTCCGGGGGTGGGTGGGTGGGTGGGGTTGCAAAAGATCATAAGGAAATGGTTTAGGATATGGGAACTATTCTGTATCTTGATTATAGCTGCTGTTACATGATTGCATACAATTAGCAAATGTAATCAAATACATATTATTCCAGCAATCCTGTGATGGACATTCTATTTTGTTTGTGCTTGTTCATAGTAAGGTGTATCTCAGAGGTGTGATGCCATTGGTGGACACCCTACTGAAGTTGTGTTGTTTTCCAGTAAATGAAACCCAGGGTCAATGAGCCTATAGCGAAAGCAAATAAAACAAAGGTTTCGGTGGGGAGAGGGGATGAGGGGGGGGTGGAGATAAAAGAGAGATGATGTCAAAGATTCCAGGAAGGAAAAGTATGTTTGGAGACTGATGATGGAAGCAATCATACAATTCTGTTTGACATGGTTGAAATATGGAATAATATGATGTATGTATTAACTCCCAAGTTACAGTGAATTAAAAGAAAGAAAGAAAATAAAGCATCGATGCAGGAATGGATTTGAGGCTCGCACTGAATCCTAGCTCCAACTTAAGAACAATTAGCTCTTACATCATGGCCCTGCACAATACTCACCCTCAGGAAGGGAACGCAGAAACGTGAGTACTATAGCAAAATGTGACAAAGAATGTAGATGGTGCCCGGCTATCACATAAAATAGTGTTTCTGGTCTTAAAGGCTTATCTTCTAACAAGCAGCCTTCTAAATGAGATGTCAGCTAAGACCACATGGAAGAAGCACACCATCATCAGTCATCGAGGGAATATAATCCAAAGTTGAAGGGGGGATCAGTCTCAGAGAATTGTGAGAATCTGGTGTGCAGAAGGCGATGGATGACAATGGGAGCCCAACATTCATCTGTGGAACTAACCACCTAGGAAATAAGCCTCCGGAGAACTCCTCCCATCTAAAATTGAAGGATGGGAGGAAAGTGGTCACTAAACAGGGTGTTTGGGAAGATCAAAGACATAAAGATCAAAGACATAAATCTGACCTGAACAGTGAAGACTTTGTCAGTACACACCCCCCACACACACACACCGCTGTGATGCAGGCTGGACCTGATCTGGTTTCCCAAATTTTCTGTGTTTTTATATTGTTTTGTTTGGTTTCTGTTTACCCATTAATTAGGGTGTATCTCAGAGGTGTTAGGTCATTGGAAGTTATATGTTTTTCTTTTTTTCAGTATTTATAGAGATAGCAAGTAGAATAAGGGTTTTGGAGGGTGGGGGGAGGGGGGTAAGTGGTGGTAAAGGGCGGGGGTAAAAGGGAGACGATGTCAAGGAGTCCATGTAGAAAAAGAATGGAAACTGATTGTGGTATCAACTGTATGATTCTACTTGACGTGGTTGAAATATGGAATGATATATATATTAATATATACAATAATATATAATAAATTATATACTATAATCAATACACCTATTACTATAATTAATATGTATCAATGTGGATGATATATGTACTAATAATTAATTAATACTTTTAAAGATCAGTCTTTTATGTCACTACACAGAAATCAATCTTTTATGTCACTAACACCGAAATGAATGTGAAGGGAAAACCAGCACTTATAATCAGCTAAATGACAGCAAAAGCGTCATTGCTGCATGCACAGCCGAGTCCCTTCCGAGCCTTGGTGGCCCAGGACTCTTAGAGTCGAACTGTGCCACTGTCGTCGCAGCTGGGACCTTTCCAAAGCAGATTGCCAGGCCTGTCTGCTGTGGGGCCTGTGCGCAAAAGGCTCAAACTGCCAGCCTGTTGCCTAGAAGTCAAGTGCTTAACCATTTCCGCCACGCAGGGACTCCATAGCAAATTATAGCCCTCCCCCTAAAATTTGGGGGGCCAATCATTACTCTTGCCAAGCATTACTTTGGGGCAGTCCTTTCTTACCTTCCAAGACCTCCTTGAGGGAGAAGAAGCTGTTGGTAGGTAGGATGACATCCGCGTGATTGGAAGTAGATGGGGTCTCTCCACTGTTGTCATTCTGTGTAAGCAGAAAGTGGTGTCTGACAAACGCCCAGTCCACTGAGCAAATGCTTAGGGTGACAGATATTGCCTAGGGTGGGTGTCCTACTGACTGAGCCTCTGCTTGACACCAGGGGAAGGGTTCTCACCATCCTAAGGCAAGCATGGAAACTCAAGATCTACTTCCAGGATAACAAAGACCGTTTGCATTTGGGGGAAGGGAGCTACATGGAAGTTGAGGGGCTTCCTTAGCACCCCAGAAAGACCTAGAATGTGTGTACTCACTGTCCAGTACTACCTACTATACACACCAATTGTGAATGTCAGCCTCTCCCTTTAGACTTGACCTGTGGCTTGTTACCAAAAAAACTATAGCACACTATCCTGGATAGGACTCAAAAGGATTTGGCAAAAATGAAGGGAAATCCCTAGAAGCAAAGATGGCACGATTTAAGGATTTCATTTTACTCAGCTTCACAATCAACACCCAAGGAAGGAACAGTCAATAGATCAAATGGTGGTGTATTGTACTGGGCAAATCTGCTGCCAACGATCACTTCAAAGTGTACAAAAGTAAACGTGTCACTTTGAGCACGAAGGTGTGCCTGACCAAAGCCAGGGTACTGTCAGTCATCACATATTCATGGGAAGACTGGACACTGAATAAGGCAGGCTGGAGAATAACTGATACAGTTGCACGATAGTGTTTGCAGAGACCATTGAAAGTGCCATAGACTGCCCAAAGAACCAACAACTGTGTCTCAGAAGTACAGCCAGAACGCTCTCTAGAGGCAAGGATGCAGACACTTGGTCTCAAGCACTTTGGCCATGTTGTCAGGGAAGACCGGTCCCTGGAGAAGGACACCCTACTGGTCAAGTGCAGGGACAGTGACAAAGAGGAAGGCCCTCGGTGAAACGGATTGACCCCGTGGCTGCCACCCTGGGCTGAGACACGACAATTTGGGGGGTGGCACAGGACTGGGGGTCCTGTCGTCCTGTTGTATATAGGGTGGAATCTTCTCAGCACCACCTAACAACAATAGCAGGGTACGAATGAGACACTATGACTAACTATAGCCACGAGAAAATATTTATAGATTTTAAGTAGACAAGATCAGTGCTTGATTCTTTTCCAAGCCATAAGCAAAGGTAGACTTGCATATTACGGGACATGTTCCCTTTCTCCCCCAAGCATGTGCACAGCTCTCTCTCGTCTCCTCACTCACGCCAACAGTAACACAATTAGAATTGGCTCAGTCCAGAGAACCCAGCAGCGGCTATAACATGTATTAGCACCAGAACAAGACAGGTGACGGGCTCCAGAGGTTATCCACTCATTCTTTAGGACCTCAATCTGGGCTCGATGCCCATCCAGGGCATTCAAGCTCCAAAGAAAATAAGATGTCATGGTTCCTGCTGATGACCTATTTCCTTCTCAAGTAACGCCCAAATCTGGAAAGTGACGTCTCACCAGAATCTGTCCGACTCAAGTTTCAGCCCAATTCATCTTGTTCTGTCACCATTTGAGAGGCGGATGGAAAAGAACACTAGCTATCATTCCACGGCCACATTAGGGACTGCTAACAAAGGGAAGCAACGGAAGTCTAAGCCTGTGGAAATGGATTTAGGTGCTAAATCTCTTCAATGTTGCTGGCAGTTTATGTGTGCCAGGCATAAAACTGCAGTCTTTTCTCATTGAGACCATCATCTGTGGTTTAAAACTACCATGCACTTAATAAATGACAACAAGGTGAAAACGTTTACATGACCAAATAATTATGGTTTGGTCAGCTTACCGTTTTAACCAACACAATTGAACCCTCCGCAGGTCCACAAGGACAGAGGTAATTAGTGGTGTGGACACAGTGAGGAGACACAGGCGACGCAGTGGTGGTTCCAGATGGCACAACGACAGACTGTAAACCCAACTGACAAACAGCAATACTTTTCATGGGTAAAAAGCAATCAAGACTATGTGGCAGATACCATCTTAGTTACAAACAAGAACTCAGATTTCGCCAAATTATAGCAAATGTAGGTGCCACTAACACTGCACACCAGGCCAAATCTGTATGTTTCTACCAAAGGGAAGTGTGGATAGCATACCAGGATAAGCTTTTCTTCCCAACATCTATTTATCTGGAGTGCAGCATGTACCTCCCTGCAAAAGAAAAGAAATCACTACTGCAGGTGTCCACCTTCAAAGAACACCTATCCATGTTTGGAGAGACGTGATCTGAGTATTCACTAAAAGGACAGCCCTACACTCACCGTTCATAGGTCACTTCTTGATTGAGAAAATCCATGCATTCGTCCTGCAAGGGGAGAAATGAGAGTAAAGTGAATACCCAGCACTTGGGGCTTGACAAGGTTTGATTCCACTGGGATGCACCTTTATTATTAGACAGGGAACTACTGAAGAGATGGGAGTCTGGTGTCACCCTGGCTAAGCACTCAGCGGCTAACCACACCGCTGGAAGTTCAAGCAGCAGTTGAACCAGGGAGCAAAGACCTGGCGATCTTCTCCCAGAAACCCTATGAAGCAGGGTGGCTAGGAGTTGGCCTAGACCCTGCGGCAGACAACAATGGCAGAGACAGAGTAGCAATGACCCCTACCCAAGTGGCTGGGGCTTGTCTTGTCTCTGGCAGCCCAGAAGGCCCCTTCCTTGTGCATCATTGCAGCAGGCCACAGGGACCACCAAGGATTGGCAGGACCTTCTCTCATTCAAAACAGCACCTATCACATGGTCGAAAGGAGACTATTTCTCTCATTAATACTAGGACACCAAACAAAGTCAAGGCCTGCCAGGAGGAGTGTAAGTGCAGGCTGATCGTGGAGAGAAACTGCAGGTTTGGTATGAATAAGATGACAGTCGTCACAATAAAATGTTTCAGTAAAGCAAGTTGCCCACTTTTTGGTCTCCCAGTGCAGAGAGGTCAGGCTGACGCCATCCTGGAGGCTATGAGGTGCGTGCAAGCATGAGGAACGCAGTTTGGAATCATGGGAGAGTGACCAGATTGTGAGACCAAGACAAGAAGTGAGCACAGGTTTTCGGACAAATGGTCCCCAGAGCCCTGCTGAGGCAGGGCTGCCCGCACACCTTCCATTTGAAGGGGAGAAAACGGCCCTATCTGCAAGAGTGACGAAACAAGGTATGGCTGTACGTGATAGCACAAGATCACACATAGCAGCGGCCAACTGATTAGTGAACTGTGGGCTTAGCTGTTCTTTTTTGCTTTGGGCTTGACTGCATTGTGTTTTCCCTCAGAGGCAGCACCATTTTTCAGTAAGATAACTCTTTAAAGGACAACCTGCAATCCGAATTCCTCATCCCGGCATTCTTAAACAGGGATTTCATCCATAACAGTGTGCCGGGCAGCCAGTGAGTGCTCCATTTTGTGGGGCCCATGAAGGAAGCAGCTAAGCTCCGAGTCTCCTACAGGAGGGCCAGCTATGCCTTCCTGCCCGAAGAGTGGCTGCCCCTCCCCCAGAGGGCGCAGACAATCTGTTGAGTGGTTCTAATCCAAACCAAGCTCACTGCCGTCCAGGCGATTTCAACTCCTAATGACCCTAGAGGGCAGAAGAGAACGTCCCCTCTAGATTGCCGAAACTCTTTCCGGGAGCAGACAGCCTCAGCTTTTTCCTGAGCAGTAGCTGGTGGGTTTGAACTACTGACTTTGCCAGCAAGGTTCCTAGTTGAGCAGCAGCACAGATAAAATAGAAACCAATTCATTCTTCTCTCTGTGGCAGAGAGAAATGAAGGTCTGTTCACAGACATTGGCATTTTACCTGTGCCAAGCTAGGTGGGGCGGGGATGGGGTGGGATAGAAGGCTTGGGTGTTTAGCAATTCGAACACAAGCAGCTGCATTGCAGCACTAGAGAAAGATGTGGCTGTCTAAATTGGTAACAATTTATAGCCTTGCAAGCCCTATGCAGCTGTTCTACTCTGTTCTGTAGGGTCACTTTCAGTGAGAATAGATTCAGCAGCAGTAGGTTCAGGGGTTAAATTAGATGGGAGCAGAAGTAACAGGGTCTAGTTTAAACTAAACCAACCCCCACAAAACGGATGAGTCCATTAACAAGAGTCCTGCAAAGAGACCTTGGACAGAAGATAATCCATGTAATGCAAACTGAGCCAACAGCTCCTAGCCCATCACCCTCTGGCACGTAACTGTGGAAACACTGGGCTGAGCTCGCGCTGGAAGAAGGAGACGTCATTTTAAATGGTCGAGATGATTGGAGATAAGAAGTGGCTCGCATTGATGATCTAGAGTCAGTAAAACTCCAAAGTTTCTAAAAACATAAATTCATCTGGATTTCCTCCATTTTCTACTTTGTATATGAGGGGGCTTCGAAATGTTCATGGAAAAATGTCACGATCATCTCAATCCGTTCTTCCACAGCCTTTTTGAAGCCCCGTGTATATTCCAGGGTTCTCGTAATATAGGCCATAATGTACATGTAAGGAGAGTGTGCATATATTATGTCAGCACAGTGTGCAGACAGTAGAGGTTCCAATCTTTTTCAATGGTAGGGAGTGTGACCAAGAATCTTGAAAGATGATTCTCAATATAGAGACAGTATATTAAGGGTCGTCAGTAATGGAAGGAGAGAGTGAGTTGTGTGAAAAATGTCAATTTGAGCTGAGTCATGAAAGGTGGTGGAGGGGAGGTATTCCAAATAGAAGGGATCATGTGAACAAAAGTTTCAAGAAGGGGAAAATATGGCAAGGGGCAGTCAGTGTCGCTAGCTTGGCTGGAAAAGAGTCTGCGCAATGGAATGATCTGGACGCCAACGAGAATGGTTAAGCAGGCCGATGTCTAGCGTTTTTAGGGCATTAAAGAGCTCGAGCTGAGGAGTGGAGTGGGGACAGGGTATGTGCTAGGACCACAAGCCAAACAACGGAATTGAATCCCAGCTCTGAAACCCACTACTTGGCCAAGTGACTAAACCTCTCAGAGGAGCGTGAGCTTCCTTACTATAAAATGAGGAGACTAACCGTAGTTATCACAGTGCATGGTCCACAGTAAGCATTTAATGCTTAACCATATTTTCATACAAATAATGCAGGTGTTATTTTGTTGTTGCTGTTGGTTTTCACAAATCACACAACCCCCTCAGCATTACTTTGCTGTGTGCACTATGTGTGCTATATGTATGTGTGTGTGTTATTTGCATGGGCTCGTTATATGTAAAAATACAGGATTAGCTCTTATTACTATTCAATTAAGTAATGGCCAACTGCTGTGACTTTGTGCAGGCGATACAGTGGTGAAAACGATGGTTTGGGAGAGGTATCTGGGTGTTGGTTGTGGAAGTCCGAGTAGAAGGGGAGAAGTGGGAAATTTCAAACTAACCCCCTGCCATCAAGGTGATTCTGAATCATAGCAACCCTATAGGTCAGGGTAGAGCTGTCCCTGTGGGTTTCTGAGACAACAACTCTTTACAGCATTAGAAAGTCTCATTTTACTCCCCTGGAGCGGCTGGGAGTTTTGAACTGCTGACCTTGCTTGCGGCGAGGAGCCCCATGTATAAACACTATGCCACCAGGGTTCCTTACTACCCCACCAGGGCTCCTTATGGGAAATCTAGGAAGAGATGATTACAGTAATCAGGACTCAAGGGACAGCATCGGGAAGTGTCAGATGGAACAGAAAGAATATTGTCAACGAAGAACTGATAGGATTAGGGGCCTAATTGGACAACGAAGGACAAATGAAAGATGACCTTTCAGTGTGACAGTGTTTTGATGGGGGTGACTGTGATGCCTTTGAGGAAAATGCGGGATTTTAGGACAAGTAGGTTAAGGAGTTCTTTTCAAAGACTGGAACCACAGGAACCTGGATGGGGAAATGCAGTGCGTTGTGCTTCGGGTCTTGCATCTGAAGGCACCCCAGCTTGTTCTACATAGGAGCTGCTGAAAAGCGATGTTGGAGAATTAGCGAAATCATAGGATGGACTGGTTATTAGATGGCATTAAGGAATGTAACGGTGGCACTGTAGTTTTGTGTTGTATTTTGAAAGTATTTCTCAGACATTCATCTGGAGTATTTCTGAGTGAAAAAATACAGCTGGGAATGGCTTTTTCCATTCTGATGCCCTTTTTGCCAATACATTTTTTTTTCCTTTTTTTTTCTTGGACAATACATTTGCAACATGGCAAACTCTTCGGATTGAGGATGTGTTTGATTTTCAATTCAGTTTTGCTTGTTGCATGTTCAGAGACTTTTTACCATTGCGAGATTTTTCGTGACACCCCCCCCACACACACACACACATTCAGTTACACAACCCAATCTAGGGTCACAATTCAGTTTACATAGCTTTGCTTTAAAACATGCCTTCCCCCCAACCCCCCCAAAGAGAAGGTGATAGAGGGGAAAGCATGCATCAAACGTGGGTGATTGTTGAAGCTCGGTGTTTGGATACATGGAAGATCTACTTTACACATGATACAAATTTTGCAAAGAAAAAAAAGGTTTCCTTTAATGCTGGGTGCCAGGTGCTGGTCTAAGTCCTGCGCATATAGCAACCCTTTTCCTCCTCCCAAAAACCCTGGGCTGTAGCTGCACTTATTCCCTCCATTTTACCTTAAAATGAAAGAGATGCTGCTACTAAGCTGATGAAGAAGCCATGGTGGCACAATGGTTAAGCGCTGGGCAGCTAACTAAAATATTGCTGACTCCAGTCTGCCAGCCACTCTACAGACGATAGACCCAGAAATTTGCCCCCTGCACCAATTGAGAATCTAGGAAGCTTTTGTGGGGCATGCTTCCTCTGTCCTAGAGTGTCCCTATTACTTGGAAGCCACTTGATGGCAACAGGTTTGGTCTTTTGGTTAGTAATCTTATTTATGTGAAAGTTCACAATGCAAAGAGGGAGGTCAACAAACAATTTTGTTTTGTACCTTAAAGGTCAAGTTCAATACTTCAAAAGAGGCCATGGTTCACAGGCGCTAGTTCTATCCTGTCTTATAGGGTCGCTATGAGTTCCCCTCCCGTTGACTCCATGGTAGTGAGTTAGGCTTGTTTGTTTATTTTGCTACATTTCATCAGGCCTTTAGACTAGCTAAGGGCACTTTGGACTTCTTTTCCAAATAAATCCACCTTTCCTGTTCAACCCTTTGAAAAAAAAAGAGGTCATGGTTAAGGTATGTGTGTAAAGATCATTAAAGTCTGAAAGTTCACGTTCTTTTGAGTTTCCCATCTCGCTCAGTTTTTTACTCAGGCTTCCTTTAAGATGTTTGCAATGTAGATCATTATATCATTATGTGACTAATAAACTCTTTCATCATTTATATCACTAATGGTTAAATTAGTCTATTTCGGAAGAGGTAGGTTCAAAAAACAACATGAAAACTGGTGACAAATTTTCACAGGACTCCTGGTAGCATCGTGGGTTACTTCCTGGGCTGCTAACCACAAGGCCAGCATTTCAAATGCCCCAACTGCTCTGCAGGAAAAAGATGCGGCTTTCTACTCACATAAACAGTTACAGTCTCGGAAACTCACAGGGGGCTGTTCTACTCTGTCCTACAGGGTCACTGTGAGTCGGACGCACCTCGATGGCCCTGAGTCGAGTTGACCCAGTGTCTAATGTGTGCTCTCCTTGAGGTGACAGAAACCCAAATGTGCAGAGAAACCAGAGTTCACTCTAACTACTGGCTTTAGGTTCTTTGATTCTTTTAAGAATGTCTCAAATAACTGCACACTCATGGGGACAAATCGTAAAGCAAAGCTTTACCTACAAGAAAAAAGAAAAAAAAAAGCAAAAGAATGTTTTCCACCCCGTTCTTGGCCTATTAGGAGCCCTGGTGGCACAGTGGTTAAAGTACTAGGCTGTCAAGCCAAAGGCTGGCAGCTGGAACTCACCAGCTGCTCCACGTTGGGAGCAAGCTAGGGCTGTCTGCTGCTGTAAAGATGGCGGCCTTGGAGGGAGCCTATGGGGCAAGACTACTCAGTCCTTTAGGCTTGCTATGAGTTAGAATCCACTTGAGGGCAGTGGGATGGGTGCATGGTGGGGTCTTGCTAATGAATGGTCGTCAGGCCTCAGGGTAGCCGTGATGTGGTGGGGAGAGGGAAAGGAGGCAAGAGGCAAAATACCAAAAACTAGGGGGACAAGATATTATGGGTTTTGTGCTACGGAGCCAGGGAAAGGGTACCTGGAACCAGTCTAGTAATTTGGGGCTAATTCTTATTTGGGCCATTCATTAACCCTGGGTTTTGGGTGCATGATGAAATGGCTCCCATCTTTGGTTTCCGACCCTGCGGGCTTGTTGTGAGATGAAATGAGACCACAGATGTAAAGTGCCTATTTTGGGGCTTAGTGAATAATGTCGTAAGTGCTTCTTACCTGTTAAGCCTCTGTGGACCAAAAGCCTGCTGGCAGTTGGGTCAAAAGAGAAATCCCACCACCTGTGGTTGAGCGATCTGATCTTTTGAGTTCAATGGCTAATCCTGGGATAATTAAAAAGCTGACTCTGTACTAGGCTTGTGCTATCGGACACACGCAAAACATAACCCAGTGAGGTACAAGGTGTTCCCGAGTTTGGATCATTGAGAAAGAAAACACAACATGATAGCCCCCAAACCATTTTACCTGGCAAATAAAAACTGTCCCTCTGAGGGTTTAAGGGGAAAACTAACTAGGGTTCTGATAAGCCTGAGAAGGAACTTTTCTACAGATCATTTTCTGAGACCCTTGGGGGGAAAAAGAGGGTCAACCTAAGGTAAAAGAATGTGCAGTGTTCCCGGACAATGTGTCACTTTACTAAGATAGTTAATAGCCCAGATACATAAGGGAGACCTCAGTAAGAGTCCTGGTTGCTGTTAAAGGTACTAGTCCTGGCCTGAAAAAGCTATCCAAGTGGGACTTTGTTTTGAATTACTGAAACCCACAGTTATGGTTTTTAAAGAAAAAAGAAAGTCGAATTCTTACCTGTTTGATCTGATGAAGGCGACTGATGGATGTGCGAGATGGAGAAGGAGGCAGTAGCTGGAATTGAAAACGTACAAAGGCAAGCTTGCTTTCCTGTCTACACATTAATTACATCCATGTGGAATCGTCTAAATGATTTCGGACATGCCTGATGCACGCCTCAATGGTGTTAAGTTTCCCGTTTAAACAAACAGACAAAAAAAACTTCCCAGTATCATGATCCCAATTTTACCTTACAAATCTGGCTAGACCAGAGCATGTACATGGTACAGAACAGAGCTGGAAACACAGGGAATCCAGGACAGATAAAGCCCTCAACACCAATAATGAGAGCAGCGCTACCAGGAGGGGAAGGGAAAGGTGGGGGGAGAAAGGGGAAACCGATCACAATGATCTACATATAACCCTCTCCCCAGAGGACGGACAGCAGAAACGTGGGTGAAGGGAGACATTGGACAGTGTAAGATATGAAAAAAATAATACCGGTAATAATTTATAAATTGTCAAGGGTTCATGAGGGAGAGAGGGTAGGGGAAAAAATGAGGAGCTGATACCAAGGGCTCAAGTAGAAAGAAAATGCTTTGAGAATGATGATGGCAATAAATGTACAAATGTGCTTGATACAATGGATGGATGGGTGGATTGTGATAAGAGTTGTACGAGCCCCCAATAAATGATTTAAAAATAAAATAAAAGCAAACTTCCAATTGAACCTTGGCCGAAAATTCTACATCAACAGTCGAGACTTATCAAAACAGAATAAAACAACTGAAATTAATGTTTAAAAAAAACAGGAGGCAGTACATCAAAAGACTGTTTTGTTTATCCTTACCTTGCTTTTCACAGGGCACTAAGTGGCCTGAAAGCCATTTCAGTTTTTCTCGGCAGTTTTAGCCCATTTATTCAAGGTTCTCAACAGGCATCACCCAGGACAAAGAGTGCAAACCATGGTGAACTCGGCAGCTAACTTGCCAGGGGCACAAAAGATGCATAAACAGGATCCCACCTTTCCTAATGTAGAACGGCTTAGGGCAATGGCTTCCAAGGCATTTTTTGTTTTGTTTATTTTATTTTATTTTCCCAAGGCATTTAGTGCACTACATTTAAATACTTGTAGGTCAGCCCTTACAGGCTTTGCTCAAAACTTATGAGAACCCACCCAGGTACATCGGGACAAGGGAAAGGATGGTGCAATTTAAATCAAAGTGTGAAAATTAGGGTGTGAGGATTACTTGTGGAATTCATGTACAGTATTCATCTTGCCTGTACCCTGTTGTTTCTTGAAATGTCAGAGAAATTCACCCTATCTGACCCTCGGGTCACAAAGGGTCAAGCCCTCAACTGCTGGTCAAACTCAGGTGACTCAGAAGGCAGGTCTGGCAATCTGCTTCTGAGAGAGAGCTCACAGCTATGCAAACCCCAGGGAGCATTTCTACTCTGCTGACCAGGAGTCACCATGTGTTGGTATGGACTCAACAGCACTAACCACCACCACAACCTTTAGCCTAGAGCTTACAAGCATATTAAGTGCTTATGTTAAACATATTTAATGAGCACCCACCCTGTGCTAGAGCACTGTGATGATGTACCCTGGAGTTCCAAAGATAAATACGACAGCATCCAATCCTGGAGAAACAGCCCAGTGAGAACCGGCTAGGCTACTGGTTCACCCCTAGGGGGTTTCCACTGTGGGAGTTCCCAACAGAGACAAAAACTCTGCTGGGGTCCCAGGGAAGGTGTTCCTGGGTGGAGAAAGGGAGGAAGGAAGGGCATTTTAGGGAACAGTGAGGGACACCAAGGCACAGAGGAACAGGGGAATAGAATGGTCCATCCCGGGGAATGGCAGGAAAACAAATTTGAGGTGATCAGGCCGAGGTTTGAGGACTTCCAGCCTTTATGGGACAGCACCTGCTGAGTTTTTAAACCTCAAAGGTGTTTCC